TACTCTACTCTACTCTACTCTACTCTACTCTACTCTACTCTACTCTATATTTTAGTACAGTTTGTTGTACTAATTTGTTGTACTAAGTACAATTTGTTGTGTAAAAATGGACAAGATAGAATTGAAGAGACTTGATGGCAATGTCATCCTCTCCTATCCACCCAGTTTGGCAGGGAAGATAAGTTGCAGGCCTCATTGGTAAAGTATTTTGATTGGCAGGACAGTTTTGAGAACAAACAGACAAAACCACAGGCGTGCTGGGTATGCCACCTTTAGCTCAGAGAAGAGTTTTTGATATATCAAAATATTTGTTTGCAGTACAATTTTACACCCAAGGCTGAGGCGTTTACCCTTATTTAAAATTCCTTATTCAAGCATTTTACCCTCTACTCTACCCTGTCACCACCGGTGTTCAATATTTTGCTTTGTCTTAACATTATAACTGTTAAATTGTGTAGAGGTAATGTTTAATGGCGTTCAGTAATTGAGTTAATGATCAGGTGTGAGAGTACATTAAGTAGAATGCAGCTGTTAATTTTCAAAACCCATGTGTTTCCAGATTTTTTGGGATAGGCTAATAGTGAAGTTTTAGTTAATTAAGTCTCTCAACCATTGCAACCTTCTTTGGGGTTTTCCTTTGTCACCAGAACAATTGGCTGCGTTTAATTTCCTCATTCACATTGGCAAATGTCATTGTTACAAGTGCAGGTATAAAGCAGGTGTCATAATAAAATTATCCTTTCCAGGGGATCCATTAATTTCAGGGATAGTCAGTACTACAGCCTTCTTTTTCCTCAGTTACACATGGAGCTCATCACATAAGCACGTTCTGGAAAACAATCTCTTACAGCATGTTGCATCAGCTCTTTCTCTCCGGCTTGAATAAACAAAAACGTGATGGCTCACAAAATAGATCTCTGTGCTCACCGAAAACAAAATCTCGGTTGCTTACCAACAGGTTTAATATAGATACTTTGCTTTTATTGTGTTTTGTGGAGCACTTAACTCTGCCTTCTCCAACACCTGTACCTCTTTCCCCTGCTCCCTTGGCTGTGTTTTAAATTAACTTGCCTGATTGTGGAATCAGTCAAACACACTTTGGTGTTGTGTGGATGCAAACCAGTAGGAGGCCCTAAAATGCTGAGATAGAAATTGTAGGTCTTAGAAACAACCAGTTCTGTAGAGCTGGGGTGAAGGGAAAGTGTAGACCATTCTCCAGTCTATTTTGGAATTGGTTGAAACTCTCAATTTGCACAATTGGAGCTTAGCCTTAACACAACCATCTTTTAAATCCCAAAGCGAAATTCAAATGTTACTCTTTGTGGGTCTTATCCCATTATTTTTAACATGCACGTTCACTTGATACTTTTTGTTGTTTTAATTAAGCAAGATCTTAAGAAAATGTAGAAAACCAGTTCTGGCATTTTAAAGGTTTCTGTGTATGTAAATAATCAAGGACATTGCTTTTTTTTGCTTTTTCTTTGTAGGGAAAAAGACAGTGGAGAATGTGGAGGAAAATAAGATAATAATGCCCAAGAAGAAAGTGAAAGAATTAAGAATATTGGATGGGAAGACTGCCCAAAATTTGTGTATGTAATATATTCATTTTATCCAGGGCTCATTTGAGCTTTATTTTTCTCCAGCGTTTTCAAAAATAATATAAAGAATAGATTTATTGTTCGATATTTAGAGGTAAACTATTATAGGAATTGACTATATTGTCTTCTCGGCCCTTGTTTTCATTAGCAGTACCGTGTGGAGAAATCATTTCTTCAGCAGAAATGGATAACAATAGATATGTAACAAAGCTCTGTTTTGACTAGCATATATATGGTTGCCCCTTCATTAGGACCTGGGTTCAGTTTGATGGTTGAGTTTTCTTTCATAAATCTGAGAATTAAAGCATTAGAACTTAACTGCATTAAGATTATACACACACACACACACACACACACACACACACACACACACACACACACACAGAGTGATACCTTGGTACTCATCATTAATTGGTTCCGGAAGATGTGATGAGTACCAAAAATGATTAGTACCAAACAATTTTTGTTCCCGTAAGAAATAATACAGCTAGTCTACTGTGGACTACTAAACAAACAATGAGTATCGAAACAAACGTCAAAATGTGTTGGATGAATTTAAAACCAGTTGAGTACCAAGGTGTCACACACAGACATAGACACAGACAGACATACACACACAGACACAGACACAGACACACACACACACACACACAGTATTTTTGCAGATTATATATCTGTCCCCAGACTTGTACCATGTTGCCTACATTTCTAAGTTATATTTTTACAACTTCATTGTATAAAATGGTATTTTTTGTGTGCAACACAGTGGAATGCATAAAATAGGTAGAAACCTGTCTTTGGATTAAGAGTTCTTGATAAAAAACCATACTTTTCACCATAAAATGGTCGAGAGATATGCATTTAATGCCCTTTCTCAAATTTTGATGGTGTGTCATTTCAGCTATTTTCCTGGGATCTTTCCGCATGCCTTACGAAGAAATAAAACACATTATATTAGAAGTAGATGAAGCAAAACTAAGTGAAGCATTAATTCAGGTAAGTTACTATGCCATTTTCTTTGAATGAAATTTAACTCTTTTATGAAACTCTGTGGACATCTCAAGTTGGTTGTGGAGCTTGCATCAAATGTCAAAATTATATGCCTTGAAAGGGGGAGGGATGTTTAAAATTCTGATTTATGACCAAAGTAATATGCTGAAAACCTCCAGTGAAGTTAATCCTTAAAGTGGAGTGGGAGAAATCCAGCTGATCCAGATAGATCAGATGTTTCCAGCAGGGAACAATAGGACCACATTTACAAATACGCATGTTGATTCACAATAATTTAAAAATGCTGTTTAGCGTATCGTAACAATCTAATTATTTGTGTCATCTCAGTATTGTAGTTGGTGTGAATTTCGCTTCAGCATATCTAGAAGACTTGGGATTACAGATAACAAGAATCAGAAACAGACAACCATGTAGTAGCTTCATCTTTTACGGCAAGGGTATCAAATCCAAGATCCCAGGACTGGATCTGGCCCATGGAGTGCTTAGATCTGGCCTGCAGGGCCACCTAAAAAACAGCAAGGGACTGGCCCATGATGCCTCTGCCAGCGAAAATGGAGCTTGGGAGGGCCACAGCCACCACAAGTGCCCTCGACACAAATGACGTCGAGCTGGCCATGCCCACCCTTGGCCACACCCACCCTGCCCTCCCAAAGTCAAACACAACCCTGATGCGGCCCTCAGTGAAATCGAGTTTGACACCTCTATTTTATGGAATAGTCCAATGCTTCATATAATAATAATAAAAAAACATAATAAGCAGACAGTTGTTCAATATACCTATTCAGAGTCTGTTAGAAATTACTCTGAATTGGAAACAAGGCTTTCATTTGAATTTGTGAAAAGAGCTCATCTCTATTTGTTATGATAGGTTTAATAATGAAAACCCACAGAGGGGGCCCTAGAACGGTATAATGTAATGAGTTGTTTTGAGACAGGAAGGAAAGGTGGTATTTTTGAATGCAAGAAAGGGCACCTATTTCAATATTTTCACTTAACTAACCTTTAAGTGTGCAATTAACATTTTCAAGAAAATAAAAGTTTCTGTTAAATTATTGCAGAAATGTGAAAAGCAGTTTAAGTGATGTCTCGGTTCTGTTTTAATGGGCAGTTTTTAACATCGCTGTGCTGATGTGCTGCAAAATTAGAGATATATAAAGCATGAGAGATTAAACACAACATTTTCTCAATACTGTCACAAATATCTTCTTTTCACTTTCTCTAGTTGGATGTGTAGGTCCTACTCAAAAAGAGGGTGGGTTTTTTTGGGGTAAAATGTTTAACTGTAATATAACTATGAATGTGCTGAGCTATATCAGGCTCTTGTACTGTATGGAATAAGACCTGAAAACAATGCACAGACAATCCACCTTGTAATGCTGATTTCAAATTTTGAAAGCTGTAGTTTTCCTTTTTCCTCGCTGCTCTAAAGACATTTTCATCCATTTTTATGAATGGAAGCAAGAAACCAGCTCTGGAACATAACTATTGGACTCAAGCACTCTTGATTCCATTTAAGGTTGATTATAGATAGTCCTTGATTTAATGACCACCATTTTTGTTGTTAAGTGAGACAATTGTTAACTGAGACTTGCCTCACTTTATGACCTTCCTTGCTGTAGTTGTTAAGTTAGTAACATGGTTGTAAAGTGAATCTGGTTTCCCCACGGAGTTTGCTCATCAAAAAGTGGCAAATGGGAATCACATTGTGTTGGGACACAGCAACATTCATAAATATGACTCAGTTGCGATGCGTCTGAATTTTGAGCACAGAGTTGTACATGGAGTTGCTGCAATGGTTGTAAATATAAAACACAGTCATCACGTCCCTTTACACAGTCATTTACGTCCCTTTTTTCAGTGTTGTTGTCAACATCAAGTAGTCACTAAATCAGGGGTGTCAAACTCTGTCAGGATCGAACTGCTGGCAGTGGGCAGAATTTACCCTGCAATACTGCATTCTAACCACTCTGCCATTAGCGCTTTTAAGATTAGTTAGGATTTTTTGCTTTCAGAATCTTTCTGAAGAAGCCATGTTGTCGTTGTGGTTCGCCAGAAGCCTGTGCAGACGGCAGTGGAATTGGACAGTGGGAAAAGGACCAGTTAGGGAGTCTGGAGAGGACTTGGACAAGGATCCTGCATCCAATGCAGAGATGGGGCCAGGACCATTTGGGAGTGGGATGCTGATTCCACAGCCTCCGGAGTCTGGCAGCAGCGAGGCCAAGGAACAAGGGGAGCCTGTTCCCAGTGCACATGTGCACAGAGCTGCCAAAAGGCAAGAGCAGTTAAGACAAAAGGGGCGACTCAGGAGTAAGGCTTGGAGGAGATTGGCCCCTCCCATAAGACATAAAGGAGGTGCAAAGGGACAGGAACCTTTGCAGGAAGCAACAACATTTGCTCTGTTTGGATTAAACCTTGAAGCTCTGTGTGGATTTTGTACTTTGGTTGGTTTTTTATAATTCATTTGGCATTTTAATTGTTGGCAGCAATTCAAAGGAGAGAAAGGTGGGTGCTTATCTCGAGGGACTGTTTGGGACTCATTACAGGCCGGGAATGAACATCATTCCCAGCGTTGAAATAAAACGAGTTGTTTTAACTAAGCGTGTGCTTAATTACGGTCTTGGGAAGCCTTGGTCAGAAGAGTTATTTCATCATCCAAGTCTTCCAAAATATACCCCAAGTGAGCCTCCTGTCATTACCTTAGTTAACACATTCTGGCATAACAATCACAACAGCAACAACGGCTGCCTGGAGAAGAATTTGATCAGCGATGGTTCCAGAATCTGGAATAAAGGATGCCCGATGTATAATTTGCAATTGTTTTGATATACGGCGTTATTGAACCGTTTTTCAGAAGGGCTGAATAGGAAATGTAAAGCCCCTCTTTCATGCTCAGGAGTGGAATGGTCGCTGTTATGAATATATAGAAATAAAATCACAGGCTCGTATTTCAAGGTTACACTATCACCTCATTATATTTGGAGCCAGGATATACACAACCCTTTGCTAAAAATTCTGCAGAAATGTTTTCAGTATATTGAACGGGGGGTGAATGAAATAATTCCCAAACAGCGAATATCTGGGGATTGCCTGCCTGTGAATTAAGGGGAGGGAGGAATCGGCTTTTCGTGAAAAAGTAATTGCTCAATGGATATCAAAATAATCCTTTGAAGTTATAATGCATTTTGCAAGTTTCGGACATTAAAAAGGGACCGCAAATCACTTTTTCATACTATCGGACACCATTGATTGCTCAGAGAAACAGGTTTGGGACAGCGTGAAGACCTCTAATTGTTGTCTTCCCTTCCAAGAGAGAGAAGAGCAGTAATACCTCATTTCTGTTTCTTGCACTAGAACTTGGTTAAAAATCTCCCTGAACAAAAAGAACTTAATGCCTTAGCTGAACTGAAGAATGAATATGAGGATCTCTGTGAGTCAGAACAGTTTGGAGTTGTGGTAAGTTGGATTATGTCTCCTCTCCTCTTTCTCCTACCCTTCCTCTTTTCTCCTCCTTCTCCTTCTCCT